TGTGACCAAAGCATACAGTGAATGCTTGAATTCAAAAAAATAATTACAACAGGCAAAAGCATGTTGCCATGCATCCCCCTCACTTCAAATTCACGTATCCCATCATTAGTGCCTCTTTCTGAAGCAGTTCTGGAAGTCCTCTTTCCTGAGTGTCTTTTGTGTCCACTATAAAGTACGTTAAGTCCCTACATGCTGGAGCTACTGAAAATAGGAAAGGAGATAATGTAGGTAACTCGCTCAGACCACCCTTGACACATAATCAGTGCTCGGTAAATGGTATTAATTATTACTCTGAATTAATCTTTGTGTCTGCTATTAGTTTTTCTATACCTGCTAAAAGTTATTCAGTCTGTGGCCTTTTTTTGTTGGTGTCCTGGCCAGAGCCCCGTCCTTCCCTTCTGTGATCCCACAGCCAGTGGAGTGCACCCTCTTTAAACACCCAAGGACTCTCACAGCTCTGTGCTCAGGACTCCAACAGCCCCTTGACTTATGTGCTACCCTGGGACCAATTTGGAGACAAAACCGGAGTTCAAAACCTATCACCCTTCCTCTTGTGTGAGGGGCCTACAGATGTGCAATTTTCATGTTTAACTTGCCGACAGGAATAAGACAAGGAAAGACAGTGTGGGGTGCCAGCTTGATGGAGCTGAAAGACTCGAGGGTCAAACCCAGTGAACCTGGGTTCTCCCCAGCACACCTTCCACGTGTGTTCTCAGCTCTGTCCTCCCCACTTCTCCAGCAAGCCGTGAGTCAGTTCCTGGAACATGAGGCAGCAATGGATTACACGTGTGCGTGTCTGTGTGTGTAACACGGCCGTTCCCTGAGAGAAGCCTGCGGGTGCTGAAAGGGATTAAACAGGGTGCCACAGCAGTGCCTGGCGAACGACAGGGCTTTGTAGCCACCGCAGCATCAGCCAGAATCAGAGCCACGGTGGTGGGAAATGGCTGTTTACCGCCTGCTGGCCCCGCACTGGGGACCTCTGTGCCCTTCACTCGCCCCAACAAGCTGGAACTGAGGCTGATGGTTTCCGCTCACGTGGGAGGAAACGGAAGCACAGAAAGGTTAAACACCTGTGTCCGGGCATCCTGGTTAGTATGTGATGCTGTCAGAGTGCACACTCAGACGCGAACATCTATGTCTTTGCGTGACCTGGGCAAAAATGGAATTTTCCGGAAAAAATCGAATCCTGAGAGCTTGCTTTGCTCTCCCTGCTGAGAGGATGATTGGGAAGAACTTGAAATGCTCGCCCTCTTGATTTCCCAGGATTCCTTACAGACTAATTCTCAATTAGCATTTTTGGACATTATCAGAAAATCAGCATCACTTGTATTTATTTTGCACCTCGCTTGGATTGCATTTCTTGGATTTAGCAAAAAAATCATGGGAGGAGTTTAGGGAACTAGAGAGAAAACAGCCTCCACTGAGTGATTCCCGCTGATGCACACACGGCAGAGTGGGGTCGCCTCTCCCAGTGTGTCCTCTTCCTCGCCTTCCCAAACCACAAGCAGAGTCTGCCTTCCCCCAGGGAGACAGCAGGGGAGTCGTGTGGCATCAGTCTCGGCCCCAGCCCAGGTCTTCACTGGCCGTACTTCAAGGGTGACAATGCCGGGCCTTCACATGTGAAGAACGATGCCTGGGAGATTTCAGGAACACTGAGTTGCCTTTCCTGCTGTTCCCGCGGAATTTTGCTCCTGTCAGCATGGTGCAGGGTACAGTCACCACATAGTCTCTCAACAGCCTCATCCCCACGCAAGCTGCTCACCGCCCTCACCTGGGCAACAAGGCCAACTCCAAACGAGGTGACTGCTGAGCAGGGGAGCAGGGGAGGGGCTCTGTCACGTTCCAGAGTGAGGAGTCCGCAGTCTGGCTTGGGTGGCTTTCCAGCCATAGTCCCCCCTTCTGCTCCGTCCCCAAATCAAGGGAATTTAACGCGAGTGAGAAGGACCCAGAACCAAAACCCTTCACAGGTAAGTCAGGAAGACCCACGTTTGGGAGAGACAGGCCAGAGCGGCTCTGCGCTCCAGGACGCAGCCCAGAAACCGTTCCCACCAGCAGTCCAGGAGCGGGGTCAGCAGGCAGCAAGCGGCCCCCTGTTCCTGCCACAGACCCCACATGAGAGAACACGCGCGCACACACACACACACACACACACACACACACACACACGGAAAACCGAGTTCTCGGCAGTGTTTATCAAGAGCTGTGTGACCTATAATTCTAACTATAAACACTACAGGTATATCAGTTGTAACTGTTGGGGGCCATTTTGTAAACAATACCAGGAACCACCCTGACCCTGGGAGTGTTGTTTAAAAATCCCTGGGTCACCTGGCAAAGACCGGAAGCCGGCAGAGGCAGTGCTCTGGAGATGCTTCATGACACAGCTTTACAGCGCCTCTGTCTGAGGGACGGCAGCCCTGCAGAGCCGCACACACGCACACACAAACACACTTGGGTGATGCAGAGGTTCTCAAAAGACTTCTGCTCGGTTTTCTAAAAAGCGTACCTTTAGGGAAGTACGTTTTACAGTCTCTCTTTACAAATATTTGACCCACTCCTTCTTTCTCCTCTGAGCCCTGGTGCAGCTCAGCAGGGAGCAGAATGCACGCGCACCCATGACGGAGAGCAAGGTCGACCAAAGACAGCTGTGGTTATGGCTGTCGGGGGTAGGTGCTGATACTTAGTTGTGGAAGCACACCACTTCCCAAGCACGGTGTGGCGGCCACAGCTGTGTGGAGAGCTACAGTCAGCAGAGAACACAAGAGACTGTCTGTCCCAGCAGCTTGCTAGGACTTCCAGAACAAGTTTTCCCCTAGTCAGTGGCCTGGACGAGGTACAGGAACGTGTGGGTCCGGGTTCTGGAAGCCAGAAGTTCAAAGAGGCTCCTGCAGGACCACACTTTCTCAGACACGATGGGCATCCCTTCCCTGCCCCTGCCTTCTCTCCGGTGGTGGCCGTCCATTCACGGCCTCCTGCCCTCGGCCCCCTACCCTCAGTGTTTCTCGGCTTTGAGCTGAAGCACGCTGATCTCTGCCTCTCTAGCTGTGCCTCTTCCTCTTCCTGTCAGGACACCGGTCATGTCAGATTAAAGCCACTCTGCTGACCCTGTTTCCAAAGCAGGTCACACTCCCCTTCCGGGAGGTCAGGATTTTAGCATCCTTGGGAGTGGGTGCATAACTGAACCCATGATAGAGGGTAGGAAAGACAAAAAGTGCACTGATGCATTATGTTATGTGCTTAGCTCCTTTTCACATGCGTGTTATACACAGGTCTGTGCTATCTCTTGAGAAGTGAACCGGAAATAAAATCTGCATCAGCCTCAGTCTGTGCGAGAGATAACACATCCGCACGTGGGGCTGTGCATAGCCACACGGTTATAACTGATGCCAGCATATTCAACACAGTAACAATGGAAAGAGACCAGAGAATCTCCTAGGGAAAACATACTTCCTCTGTCTTCAGAGATGAGTGGGTGGGAGGCTGAGGCAGGAGAATGTCTAATTCAAATGTAGCCTCAGCAACTTGGAGACTCCATGAAACCTGTCTCAAAATAAAATTGTTGAAGAGGCTGGAGACAAAGCTCTTGCAAGGCCTTGGGTCCGGTTCTCGGTATTAAACCAAAAACCAATCTGAGTGAGAGTTCACCCCCACAGCAGATGCAGGAAGCACAGAGATCTTTCTGGACCGGAGGCCCGAGGCTGTCCAAGTCCCGAGGGAGGAGAGGCCATGGTCTACTACATGCACACAAGCAGAGGAGTGGTGGGCACCAGGGAGATGAGGCGAGCTGGACTCCTTGCTGTCGTGGAATCCCATGCTCCTCAGATTCGCTGAGTCGCCCTGTGGTTCAGCAGAGGGCCGGGCTCACCGTGGTCCCCGGCCTGCGGCCTGAGCCTGTCCAGCTGATTCTGCAAGACCCGCTCTCGCTCACCCAGGCCACGACAAAGCGATTGCAGCCATGGGGGGCTCAGAGTATGTGCCAGGAGGGGGCACAGCTTAGTCTTCCGGGCCCTCTGGACAGGCGCAGGTGCGGTGACTCGGTGACCCCGGCCCTTTCCTGAACCCCAAGGTGACTCAGAGCAAATCTGAGGACCATGGAGCCCGGGACAGGAGGTCCAGGGTGGGGCGAGTGGATGCCGCTCTCCTTGAGGACCGGGACGGCCTTTACCTGCCCCCTCCCCGGGCCCTGGTGCATGCCTGCGTCTGCGCCTGGAACTTCTTCCTGCCATCTCCAAACCCTTACATGCTGCGGAGCCGACAGTCACAGCAGCACGGGCCCCTGCCTTGCTCGAGGCCGGCTTGTCGAGTGTCTGTGACTAGAGAGGAGCCCAGGTTAAAGCCAGACCCCAGGGCCCCAGGGCCCCCTCAGGCACGGCCAGAGACGGGGTCACACGCTGGTCCGGTGCCAAAGCAAGTGTTCGGTAGCCCTGGCAACCCTCCTTTCCTGCCTGGAGATTGCACTGCGGGTCTATGACTCAGCAGAGTGAGTCGATCACCTGCACTGACTCTCTGGGCTGGTTATTCACGAGCTCCGCAAGCCGACCTCTCTCTGCAGGGAACCCGCACAGCGCTTGGCGGGCCAGGCTGTGCTCCCTGTCAACAGGTGGGCGTCACCCACTCGGTGCCACAGGTGCAAACCCGTCCAGCTGCACAGCGCTGAGCCGGGATGCAGGTGACAAATCGATGCCACCCACACAGCACCGCCCCTCCACCCTCCGCTGCTGAGTCACCTCGCGTTTGCTGGCTGTCGTCACCCTCCTGGGTGAATCACCCACACTTGACTGCAGCATCCTCTTTCTGATGGAAAATTTCCAGCCTGTGTCCCCGTAACTTCAAGGCTGCTGAATTGGTGACCAGGTAATTGGCGGAAGCCAGGGTGAATCAGGCGTCCCCAGGAGGCCCCTTAGGGAAGGGACAGCGCTGCTCAAGGGCCGCTCAAACTGACTCCTGTGGCTCCATTTCAAGCCCTGGACAGCCCCTGCTCCTGCTGCGGGACAGCGAGGAGACGCTTGGGCTGCGCCATGCCTCTCCCCTTAGCGCCGGCTCTGGGAGCACATCGTCAGCCCCGCCCCCCATGCGCCCGCTGCACAGACCTGAGAGGGGAGACAGCCGTGCTGCCAAAGCCCAAGGCCTGGCGCCTGACTGCCGGCAGGGTTAGGGCTGCTTGCTACGCACTGTGTGCGGTGCCGTCACACAGGAAGCAGGCAGACGCTCCTCCTATTTGGAGAGTGCACACCCCGACCCTCTATTTCCATGTCATGTTTGCATTTTCTCAAATCTCTGTTTGCCTTCCTCCTGTCCTGTGCACTTCGGATGCCGCCTTCACTGACCACCACACTGCTCCGACCCTCTCTGCCGGGTCCCTTCCCCTGCCCCTGACCCCTGGCTCCCAGATGTCCTGTCTTAGAAGAAGACACTTCACGTCCAGGGTCGTGGCTGCAGAAGATGCTCCTGGGTGCTCTCCCATCCAGGATGAAACAGACTCAGCGAACGCGCAGAACGACTGCACGGACAGGTAATGGCAGCGGTGCCCCGGCCAGCAGACCCTGATCTCACAGCAGGAGGGAGCCTGTGAGCTGGAGCCTGTGGGTTGGGCGCCTTAACGTCCTCCTGGCCAGAACCGGCTTCCCCTGGGTCCCCACACCCGTCACCTACGCGGCGAGGGTCAGGCTGGGAGTGATGCCAGTTCCTAAGTCCCCAGACTCCTCGCTGTGGAAGGGGCCATCAGGGTCACTGCAGCCCCCACTTCCCACCTGCCAGGTGAGGAGGAACAGACTCGGGGACCCCAAAGCTTTGTCCTGTGCCCAACTCAAAGGGGACCGTCGGGGGCCTCTGTGCAAGGCACACACTGCCGGACGTTTCACAAAACTGCACTGCTGGGTACTGCAAGAGTCCCTTCCGGAAACACAGGCCATTCGACATGGGAGCCTCTACGAATTCACACCCATGTGTTTGAGGGCTCGTGGAGGGAATTCCATTCGCGTGTAAGAACCAGGGAGGATACACATCCCCCTCCCCTCCGGCTGTGTTTGTTTATCTTATCGCACTGTGGATCACCATGATGGAGTTATGTCGCCACAAACCCATTGCCAGTTTTAAATGTCATGAGTTAAAAACATACTGAATCCACCTAACTCACCCAGCGTCACAGCTTAGCCTGCCTTAAATGTGCTGGAAGCAAGGTAGCCTAGACTTGGACAGAAGTACCTAATTAACGTGAAGCCTATTTTCTAGGAAAGCATCGAGTCTCCCGTGGAATTAGGGAACATCACACTAAAAGTAAAAGCCCCAGTGTTTACGTGAGTGTGTTGTCACACGGCTGCAAAGTGAGAACAATCCCAGGAAGCCGGGGACCTCTGTGTGGGTCCACCTTTGCCTCGATGCCAGGAAGCGCACCCATCAGCGTGAGTGGGCATGCGCTTTCCTGTCTCAGCCTTGTCTTGCTTTATTTTCTTAGCTCAACCGCCAGTTTTATCTTTTGTGCGTTAGCAGTGTTTCGTAAAGCTTTCTTTTCTAATGGGTGAGGTTTTGAAACCTAGGTTTTCACTGTCTCGTCATCAAGGAGCAATAAGGCATTGGAAACTTTCCTCAAAGACTGGATGCTCCTGGGCTGGAGCCATCCTGACTGTGGGGCCGTTGGGCCATGTTACCTAATGAGACTGAGGTTCTCTCTCTCCTTCCCTTCCCTCCCTCCCTCCCTCCCTTCATTTGCATGTGCAAACCTCACCCCAAAATTTGGAAGCGGAGGCTCCTGTCACTGTGCTCTCTCACATGGTCCTGCTTGTCACGAGCCTCTGCTCCTTGGGTGACACAAGTAGAGCTTCCTCATTGGCTTTGAGGGCAGCCGGGGTGACGTCGCTTCTGGTTTTCCTCACTAATCCCCCACTTCTGAACTGCTGTCTTCCTGCTCTACAAGAGCAGCCAGCAGGCTGCTCCTCAATCAGCCCTCCAGACAAACAGCGTCGCATCCCCTGGCCCACACTGTCCTTTCCATTTCTGTGGGAGAGGGTGACGCTCACACAGGAAATCTTCCCAGGTCAGGGCAGGGCTTGCACACAGCCCTGCAGCTGGAGAGGGGCTGCTTAGCACCTCGACTGTGAGCACCATCTCCAGTGTGGGCTCCTCCACTCGCTTGGTGAGACAGGCACTCACTCAGGCACTCCCTGCCTCGTTTCCCTCATTGTCCGTATGGGCCATAGGGAACCACATGATGCCGTTGTCATGGAGAGAAAGAAGTGAGGGTGTCCATAACATAATGAGCACTCCCAGAGAAGTTTGTCAGGGAAACAAATGAAGCCCTGGGCTTGAACCCAGGACATTTGGCTCTAGACTGGGGATCCCTTTCCTTGGAGGCCCACGCCCACAGCACCCCGGCAGAAACGCTGGCCAGCTTCCAGCAAGGCCAGCAGGAGCACTGTAGCTTCATGAGATCAGGTGCCTGTGGGCTGAGTGAGAAATGTTCACCCATCAGTGACGCCTCCCTCAAGCCCAGAACCAGAGAAAATGCCCCAAAACGAGCAGTTCTCCACCCAGAGGCTGCCTTTTCCTCCACTGTGTGACAAGTTGATTGTCAACTTGATTAACTTGGGAGCCATTGGAGAGATCGGTAATTCCACTTCCAGGTGTGTCTGGGTGGCCGTGGAGGGTGACGTTGGCGACTGCCCCTGCCCCTGCCCCTGCCCTGCCCCTACCCTTGCCCTGCCCCTGCCCCTGCCCTGCCCCTGCCCCTCTGGCACTGTTTCCTCCTCTGCTTCCTGGCCATAGTGAACCAAGCAGCTTTGCTCCATCACTTCCTTCCACCATGCTGTTCCTACCTCAGAGCCAGCAGCCCATGGACTGAATCTCCTGAAATCCTGAGCTAAAACCTCTCTCCCTTTAAGCTGTGCATGCCAGGCATTGTGCTTTGGTGATTAGAAAGCTGGCTAGCACAACCATCAGGCCACCTGAGTCATTTCCAGGAACAGGAGAGAACTGCAGGCCCCCTACCTGTTACTGCCCGCTCAGTGACAGACCTACTACAATGGCAAGTCAGGTATCAGCAGGACAGCGTTCTACTCTACATGGTCTAACACTACTGCAGCTTTCCTAAGACCTCAAGGACTGGGAATGGAGCATGTGCTTCAGGAGTTTCTGCAGGTGAGGGGAAAATAATTTGTATTTGTTTCAAACATAATGCCATCCCCATTAACAGGATGACTCAGGCTCAGCAGAGCTTGAAACTACTATGTCTATTTGATGCTGGATTTCTCCTCCAGAGACGAGGAATACATTTATCCTTAAGCTGTTATTTCACTTTTTCCTGAGAAAGGTTATTTCCCTAACTAAACACTTGGCTCCTTCTCAGTAGGTCTTTGACTAATGTTGTTTACCGTCATGTGGAAAGAGCAAGGTGATTGCTGAAACTTGCTTTCAAACAGTGGCCCTGAAAGTTGCGGATCTTAACTGGGGCTGTCACACATTCAGCTAAGGCCTTCCTCCGTGCCCTAGTTTGAACTCTTGACACAGTTTTTAAAAGGAGGTTTTTACAAATCACTTAAAGGCTTTTATTTTCTGTCTTGATACACACTGCAGAAGTAACAGCTTCCATTTTCAGCTGGCGGCCGGGAAAAAATGTGTGATCTATCACAGTATTGTTGAAGTTTACTTCTTGACAGTTATCCATCCACATACACGAGCCACCGCAGTGTAAACCGATCCCCTGCTTCCCATAGACGGCCCCTGCCCGGTGCCTTCCCCACGAGCATGTGCAGGGACAGCAGGACCAGCAGCCTCGTGTACACTGAACCACTCAGTCTCTCAACAGCTCTGTGTTTGTTTCTTGGCTTCACCCTGTGGGAGAGGTTCCGTCTTTTGCCCTGACTCCCACATGGCAGCTTCCGTACAGAAGCCCTGAGTCCTGCTGGCTGATCCCATCAGCGGGGAAGGTGCAGGGAAGGACCTGACATGGAGGAGGGCTCGGCTGGGGACTCGGGTTCAGGAGGGCCCGTGAGGGAGGCTGGTGCTTACGTTAGGGCTGGGAGGATGGTGACATTTGGGCACAATCAGAAAGAGAAAGGATAGGAATCGCGTGGCCAAGTGAACTAGATGAACTGGAAGTGGGATTTGAGACTTATTTGTGGGGTCCTTGCACACCTGGCAAAGGGGGTTGACCTTTACTGTGGACATTACAAATCCTCAGAGAGGTGTGTGTGTGTGTGTGTGTGTGTGTGTGTGTGTGTGTGATGTTTGGGTCCATGAGACAATGTCCTGATTAAAACTGTGGTTTGATAGTAATACGATAAAGGCGAGAGCACTGGGTAAAAAGAGAAGAGCTATAAGGCAATTGAAAGCCAGCTAGAGGGAAGTCCCCAAAAGAGCCCAAAGTAGGCCTACTAGCCCATCAACGCCCACCCCATGTCGGCTGTGTTCAGCTGGAGAAAGCACCAGGGCACCTGCCGGACAGAGAGCCAAGGACTGCAGTGGGCAGTGGATGCAGAACACCCGGGGTGAGGGGCATGAGGAGGAGGGGCTGGCACCCGCCTGGCTTTCAGTGAGAGAAACCCTGCCTGGCACTGCCGGAAGCTGGCCCTGAGCTCCACGGCCCATGCTCACAGACCCGGGCAGGTGGCAGCAGCACCTCCACAGCCCCGGCCCTTCTGCAGTCCCTCCCTATGCCGCTGGGCCTCCTGGTCCCCGGTCCCCAGTTCCTTGCACAGAAGCACCTGGCCATCTTTGCCACATCACCTGCACCCCAGACCCGTCTCTTACTCACTCTGCATCCCGTTTCTCCAGGCCTGAAGAGACAGGTGTCTGCTGCCCATCTCCCTGCTGTCCTTCGAGTTGTGTCCAGGAGCCTGGGCCCCCTGCAGGCCTCCCCTGGCTCCAGAATGCTCTGGGATGGGGACAGGGCCTTCTCCCCCTCGGTGACCCGGACATGAAGAGAGCACCGCAAGGCACAGCTGTGTGGTGACAACAACGTGTTGCATTAATGCAGGGGACCGCAGAGGGACACCCACGCCCTCGAGTGACAGGGAAGCCTGTGTCGGCAACCCGCATGGGGGTGAAAACACCGCAACGGCCACTCGCAGTCAGGGAGAAGATCTTTTTAAAGGGAGGGGGGCAGTGCCAAATAACAAAGGCTGGCAAGGCTGTGGGGGCAAAGGAACCCTTCAGACATTGTGGGCTGTCATGTAAACTGGTACCACCACTATGAAATCAGCGTGGAGATTCCTCAGAACACTAAAACTAGAAATTCCACTTGACCCAGCTGTTCCCATTCTAGGCATCTTCCCGAAAGAGCTGCACGTTACACTGATCCACGCACAGCCCTGCTAACGGCAGCACAGCTCATAACAGCTGCGTCTTGGGGGCTGCCTGCATGGCCATCAACAGCTGAAGGGATGGAGAAAACGTGGTCTTCACACACAGTGGAACACTACTTTGTCATAAAGAGGGATAAATTTGAGCCGTTTTTAGGAAAATGGATGCACCTAGAGAGCATAACAGTCAACAAAGTAAGTCAGACACACAGGCGTAAACATCACGTGGCTTCTCTTACAAATGGACACAGCAAAACAGAAGATAGCAAAGAGGAAGTAGGGGCACGCTTTTCAAATGGAACGGAGATGGTGGGAGGAGGAGAGGAGGTGGGGCAGGGATGGAAAATGCTAAGAGCGCTTTGGAACTGCGAAGGGGACAGGCGCTGGAAGGAGCTGTCAGCAAGGCGAGAGGGCAGAGACAGCAGAGCTGTGGTGTCCCATCCACGCACCAGCTCCCCTCAGGAATGTGCAAATTGTGTGCGGCAGAGGTGGACCAATAAAAGAAGACACCAAAACTGGGGGCAGCGTTTAAATGTTTGCATATGTGCAAATTCTCCTCCCCGTGGGCAGCTCTTTGCATGACGTGACAGGAGGAAGCCGCTTTCCTCCCCACGAGGGAAAGGCCGTCCTGGGTGTCCTCCCCCACCCTTCTGGACTGGAAACCCCTCGGAGCTCGGTGAACACAGCCAGGCAGGGACTGGCATTGTCACTGTCCCTCTTGGCTCGTGATCCCACTCCCATCCAGGGCAGTCGTGCTGCAGGGGAAGCGGTAAGCCCTTCAGGGTGCAGGTGGCCAGGAGCTAGGCCACGGTGTCCTGAAGACGTCACACTCCCTCCCTGGCAGAGACCCCGCTGTTTCTCCTCCCCCACTTTTAAACTTTAAATCATCGGACCCGTGAGAAGCTGCGATCATCCCCCTTTAGCAGGGTGGGGACACAGGCGCAGAAGGGCAAACCTGGGGCTGGGAAGAGACCCTGCAGTGGTGGGGGCTCTCTCCCCTCGGTCTCCAGCACCTGCAGAAGGAGTGTCCCGCCCCAGAGGCACCAGAACTCGGACACGGAGGATTCTGCGGACAGGCCCAGATTTCCTACAAGATGTCCCAGTGACTGGCATAGCGGGAAAACTGAGGCTGCCGTCGTGTGGGCGAGGGGTGCTGGGGAGCAGTCACTAGGGAAAGATGAGGAGCCAGGCTTGGAAGGTTCAGCTCCAGGGGTGCCCGACAGCAGAGCCACTGAGCAAGCTGGTTAAGCCTGGTGGGGCCTGGGAAGCCGCCGGGCTGGGCTGCAGCTGTCCAGGCCGAGTATCTGGATGCACCTCAAAGCCTCAGACTGAACCCCACATCCGGCTGCAGCCAGAACCTCCCCGCTTCAGTGTCAAAAGAATCTGAACTGATCCTCTCTCATTCCCAGCCTGCCCGCCCTGGCCCGAGCATCGGTCACACCCCGTCACTCGTGGTGTTGTCCTGGAATCGTCTGCAGCAGGGACTCGCAGGCCAGCACCCTCCTACAGAAGCCGTGCATCCCTGGGTCGCGCCCTGCTCCATTGCCGGGTCCAATGTGAAAGCTGGGTGACGCTGTGGAGCTTGGCCTGTGGAGTGTTTTGGAAGCCATGCCGCCGGGCAGGAGACCCCAGTCCTGGGTCCAGGCAAAGCACACTGCAGACCTGAAGGCTGTGGACAGTGAGGGCCCAATCTGTTCCCTCCATCCCTGCATCCCAGTGCTGATGCTGAGAAGGAAGTGACTTTATTTTTATCACTGCTGTGTCCTCCCTGTCATTCGGTTCATAGTTAGCAAGTGAAGATTTTCTACTAGGTTCTCCCTAATGCAAGAGACCTTACACATTAGCTCGATTCCTAGTATAGGACAGGCTCGGTTTCCTTCTTACCGGAATGTTGTTCCCCTCCCAGTAAGCAGCCTCTCCTCTTCCAAGTGGTAACTGTCCCGGTCACTTTCTGGTTCCAGAGACACGTGCCCCACACTCTCCAATTAAAGGAGGAGAGGACTCAGTCCGTGGTCCACCGGCTCCAAGCAGGAAGGCCCGGGTAGAGCCGCTCACATCATGGCACACAGGAAGCAAGAGGCAGAAGGGGACAAACATTTCCAGTTCCCGCCCCGGTGACCCGGCTCTAAGCAGGCCCTGCCCGTGACAGCAAGCCGCCCTCCTGAGGCCCAGCTGCCTTCCGAAAGCCACAACTCTGAGCACCAGCGAGGTCTGGGGGGCACCCCGGATCTGAACCCTAACCATAAACCTCAAAATATTCTAACTCAGCATCGCGCCTTTGCAGTGATGACCGAAAGGAAAGCGAGGCAAAGGCCTGGGCATTACTCACTCAAGACACAAGAGGGTAAAAGATGCCCGGGAACGACCACTACGGAGACGCGGCTTCTGGTCCATTTCATGGCAAAGCGTTCTAATGATGAGTTTGTAAGAGTGTCTGTTCATCAAGAAATGCCTTGGGAAGCTATGCAAAAGCGATGGGCATTTGAGATTTTCCATTTCCGGTGTCAAGTTGAGGACACCAGAGCTGCAGGCCACAGAGGAGTTCGGCTGGCTGGTCACCACACCGCCGTGGAGCCCACACACGAGGCTTAGCTCACAGGCAGGGAAACAAGACGTCAGACCCGGGCCTGCTGAGGACAGACAGGGAAGCGAGCTGACAGCGGCTCCCGATGCCCGCCCGGATGCAGAGGCGATTAGCCTGAGGTCATTCTATGTTTTCTTTTCTGTGAAGTGACAGCCAAGAGCTACGTGAGACATTCACCAGCAGGCTGCAATATCCTGAGAAACCTGAGGGGAGCGAGAACCAGCAGACGTGAAAGACTTCAAAAGGAAGGAGATGGAGTAGGCCCCGTGTGAGGCCTCGCCGCGGCCCAGACGCACACAGCCTGAATCCGAATCGCACGCGGCGTTTGCCTCGGACTTTACCACACACCTCACTCTCTGGAACCAGTCAACATTCCATTCTTTCTTTCCCTGTCCTACTGGGGATTGAACCAGCAGCTCTCCAGGCTGAGCTGCATTCTCACTTCTGGTTTGCTATTTGGAGACAGGGTTTCAATAAGCTACTAAGTTGCCCAGGCTGGGATCAAACCCGGGCTCTTTCTGCCTCAAACTCCCAGTGTGCCGCCATTACAGGCCTGTGCCTCCATGCCAGCCTAACGTCCTATTCTTTAGACAGCTCTCGGTCAGCTCACCCTGGGTCATAGCTCGAGAAAAATGCATCATAAAGGACTTTGCCCGTGCGTGTAGCTTAGGCCATCCTGGTCGGCCAGTGCCTGGTAAAAGAACAGAGACCATACTCATAAGTGAGATAAATCAGACCCGCATGTGTAAACACCATATTTTATCCTTAGTGGAAGAAACTGAAAGAGTAAATAAGATCCAAAAGGTACAATAGGTACAGTGAAAGGGAAAGAAACTGCTCAAAAGGAAAGAACAACTGGGATGGCAGAAAGGAGAAAAAGAAGACATGTATTTATACACGAAATAGCTAAGATAACTGTCCTCGTAATTTCTATCAGTTCATTGAAAGGAACAGTTGGTGCTTATATTGTTTGATCAACTTTGCATGCCTGTACCTGGTAATCTGAGCAACTACTTTGAAGACAACAATATGTACTATAATAACCATTGTTCATTTCCTATCAGCTTGTTTTCAGATTCTGTATCATTTTTATTGATTTTTTTCTTCTCTTTAAAATAAAAAAAAATGCAATATGTGTGTGTGTGTGTGATTTGAACACACCACCTGCCCGCCCTCTAGATGTGTGAGCTCTGTGAGAGAGGAAGTCTTCCTGTTATTCTCACATCATACACCTATACTAGAGGCATTGCTACTCCCACATGCAGTACTCGATAAATAGCATTTGATTAATCAACAACTGCATTTTAAATGTGTTTACCTGTGGATCATCTTAATTCTCCACAGAATACAAGTCCCCATTCCTGGTGGGTGCAGACGGGGGCCAGGCTGAGTGGCCCCCGGGGTTTCCGGCACACTGCAGCAAGAGCACTGGGGTTTCAGAGCGACGCTCCCTCAGGGCTGCATGTGGACATCTGCACCTTGACCTTCAGCACGTGGCAGGGAAGGGTCACAGGCAGCAGAGCCATGTGAGGTCAACGTGGCTCCCAGATGCCCCACCGGTGCCCCAGAGCTGGACTTGGAGACGGAAAGGCAGAGTCTCAAGACAGCCTCAGCCACCAGCTGCGCACCTCGAGGAGGCCACAGGCTTCCTGTTACGTGCGGAATGAAAACGCAGACAGCAGCCACGGCGGCCAGCCTTCGGAAAACGGTGACCAAGTGGTGTCCCCAGTCCACCCACTTCCATCTGGACCGGGCAGTGTCCACAGCCCAGGTGTTCACAGCCAGGCCTGGCCCCTTCACCAAGGACGAGGCCTCCTGTCCCCCTGTGGGACCACAGTGACATGCTGGACATGGGGGAGACAGGCTCAGAGACCAGGGCTCTAAGGCCTTGACTGTAACCACACCCGGAAGTGGCCCAGGAGACCCATCGAGCTCCTACAGCAAGCAAGCCTTGCCCTTCCGTTCCTGGAATGCTGGGGGTCTTTAGTCCCTCATTTCCCGTTCTCGCTTTATCTTCAGGAACTGCCGTGGTTAAAGACGAGAACATGAGTATCTCGTGCGCCAGCTGGGGCTGCTGCCACAGGCCCTGAGGCAGAGGGCCGGGAAAGGAGAGGCGGGTGCTGGTAAAGGGCTGGCTCTTCTGTGAAAGCTGCTGACCTGTGTAAAGCAGATGTGTTTGCACCAAACCGCGAAGTCCGGCTGCTGTCACAACTTCTCAGGCTCCAAACCTGAGAACTTAGTAACCGACCAAGCTGGAAGGGGAGAGCTGACCTCACTTTGGGTTCACCTGCCCAGTCTCCCCTTCTCTCCCTGTCCCTTCAAACGGGGCCACCACGGAGTTCTCATTTAAACCCTTGCTTCTGCTCGGGTGTCTTCCCGCCCACGTAGGGCAGTCCCCTTGTTCTCTGGAGCCAAGCCACGCCCCTCATTTGACATCTACTTGTCTCATCAGCTACTGCTTTTGCCTAATACATCCTGCTCTAGTCTGGATTCTAAGCTCCCCAGGGCAGAATAAAGGCTGAAGAGAAACCCAGTATCTGCTCGATGCCCTCCTCCTCCCCCTGATGGGATTTGGGGAAGGGTTCACCCTGCCCGACTTCTGGGTCTGCACAGAGTGAGAGTCACTAGGCTGTTTTGTGTGTGTGTGTGTGTGTGTGTGTGTGTGTGTGTCTGTGAGAGAGAGAGAGAGAGAGAGAGAGAGAGTGAGAGACACTCAGCCACCCACCATGACAGTGGAGAAAGCCGCCCTGCTGGGCTGCCCTCTTGGGCCAGGCACCGGGGAGAGTGGGACTGCTGTCCTACCAGAGCCCCGGGGCCAGCCGTTAGCCGTGAGTCTGCCCCTCCTTCCGCACAGCTGTTCGGGAGGTGGTGCATTAGCTGGCTTTCTGTTACTGTAACAGGTATCGGAGGCAGTAGGCTTAAAAAGAAAAGAGGTTTGTATCAGCCGACCGCTTTGGCAGCTCTGGGTCAGGACCCTTCGTCCCTGCTGCCTCTGGGCCTGTGGTAGCTGTGTGCTATGGAGGCACCAAGCACTGGAACCCCTTCAGAACGAGAAGACAGGTGTCCCACAACCTGGTGGCCAGACCCCCTCCCTCGGAAGTCCTGGCACCTCCCAGCGGCAGCAGGCCGGGGCACAAGCTTTCAGGAACATCCCAGATATCCCAGATGGGACCTGTGGCAACGACGGAAACAAACTGAACGAATGGACTGCAGCGCCAGCCCCCGGGAAGGCCTGGGTGGCTGGCGACTTGGTGGGGTGCAGTTTCAGAGGGCTCGGAAGCAGCGTACCTCACTCTGTCCCCCTCACTGCTCAATCCTTCACCTCGTCTGTGGGCACTGGGGAGCATTGCAGCCAGCAACGCATGGAGCAGGAGGCTGTCATCTTGCTGTGGGCTGTGGGAGTGTGTGCACCGTGCAAGGCCCCCCAGTCCGACCGCCTGGGGATGGAGGAGCTGGAGGCCGCCTCCACCCAAGGCCTGGCCCGAGGGGCAGGGTCCTGTGCTCAGGAAGTGTGGGCAGTGAGAAGGTTGGTCCTAGAGTCACAAATATCAGAAGACAGCACTTTCTGCTGGGAAGGGGGGTGCCCCGGGCTGGGGTAGAGGGTGGGGCGCTCAGGCCCAAGCGGAAGGCACTGCATCTCTGGAAATGTGTCAGGGTGATGTGGCCCATTGTGTGCTGTTTACAGGGAAAAAGGCGAGGAGCGCAGACCTGACTAACTGTTTCAGCAGCATCCGCGCAGCACACGCCCCCCACTCTCCGTGTCCCTCGCAAGTGCTCAGCCGACGCCCGGCCCACTCGCAGGGCCGGACTTCGCGGACCCCGTCTTCTCCTTGAGCGGAAGCAGAGGCTGCCATCTTCTCCCTGATGTGCCGTAGCACATCTGCAGTTCTGTATTTTTGTAAAACCGTAGGTGCTGCACTGCATTCTCACTTTGCGACACGTATCAAGTTGGGCTTTCCTCTCTCTCTTCCCTGTAAGTTCTCAGATACAAGAATAACAACTGATGCCTTCTCTGAATCTAGCACCTGCCCCAGTGTCAGAAATAGAGGAGGGTGAATGAATCACCAGGGACCACCAAGCTGCCCGTGCTCATGAATGCATCAACCAAATGAGATTTAATGTTTTTAAAAAATGTGTGCATGGGGCCAGGGACATAGCTCAGCAGCACAAGCTCTTGCCTGGCAAGTACAAGGTCCCGAGTTTGATACCCAGTACCAAAAAAATAAAATAAAACAAAATTTAAAAATAAGAAAAAATTTTAAAATGTGTGCATTGTATTAGTCATTTTCCTGTCACTGGGACAAAACACCTGACACCCACAACTTTAAGGGGGGTTCGGGGGATTCAGTCCATGCTCACCCGGTGGAAGGGCGTGAGGGCACAGCTGCTCGGCTCATGGGACCCAAGGAAGAGTGAGGAGGAAGGAGCTGGCGAGGGAGAGAACCCTTTTGAATGCAGGCACCCAGAAACACCCGCTTCTAACTGGACTCCACCGGCGTGCGCAGCAGTGCACTAGTCAGAGGACGAGCCACCGATGAATACAACAACCCCACAGTCCTACCGTCTGCCCAGGGCCCCCGTCGGCTCTGACCACGTGGCACTTTGGGGAATGTTTGAAATCTCAACCATAGCATGTACCACGTAACATAAGCCATTTTACCGTTACATTTGATTTTGTGTAATTTCTACATTTTCCTCTCCTCACACAAATGATGCCTGTACGGGCACCTGGACTGCGATTACCAGCACTCTCCCCATGCTGTTGCCCTCGGCCCTCCTGCTGAGCGCTCACTGAGCTGGAGCGTACTGGAGAACGCACACACCCGTCTCCCGGACGTCAGCTTCAGCGCAAGAGAGGGACACACGAGAAAGGTGTGGCGCTTGGGCTGTCTCAGTGGTTTCTACACGCAGTGCCAGGAAGAGGCTGGATAGTGAACCTGTCCCCAGCCAAGTAGGGGATGAGGGCTGCAGGCCTGCGCCTGGCTTCACTCTCCCTGAGGGAGGCTCAGGATAGCAGGGACCAGTACAGAGTGGAGCAGTGAACGACAGAGGCCAAGAGCGAGGCTAGAGAGGGGGAGAGAGAGACAGTTGCACCCCTGTGTGCGGACAGCATCACCACGGTTTCCAGTCTGATGCCCAGGGGGATCTGATGGCCTTGGGTGAGGACAGTGACAGGGACAGGGACCCATCAGACCTGTAACTGAGCGGACAGAGAGGCTGCTGGACTGCGGCCCACAACCAGGGCAGATGGAGTTCAGCCCACACCTCAAGGCTCCCCAAGGGCGATTTTACGGAAGGGTGTGTGCACGTGTGCGGCAGAATCCGAGCTCGGTTGGATACACGCCCCACGCCACGTGTGCCCTCCACCCACCCCCAAACCAGAAACGGGCCACAGGACAACTTTGATGGAGAGGTCCAATCCTCTTCAGTGAGACGGTGCTGACAAGCGGCTTTTTGCGATTCTGGAATCACTCAAGCACAAACGCTTGAAATGAAAGCTTTCCCACCACAGCACTCAGGGGCTGCTCTGTCTTTCTTTAAAACCCAAAAGTTGTACCTCTGGAAAATGAGATACACCACCCTCAAAAACTTACCGGGAATTGCCTAGAAATCCACTGTGGCAGGCATGGTTGGTGTAGGCCGGTGTGCCAGAGCGGCTGCACACGTCTTCCGGGCCATTTCGAATACCAGCTCCCCGGGCACACGATGAAGTGGCAAGAGTGGGCCTGAGCGCTCGTTCCAGCACCTTCGGCCCAACGCTGGAAGTTCTCCGT